ACATATTTACTTCATGCTTACGCTTGTATTTGTACGTGTTCTTTAATATAAACAAACAGTTTTAAAATATTATTTTGTTGGAATTATTGACGTGCGTATGGTAATTATATTTGGCGCCGAAGCTCAGTTTACATGACCACCTCATTCTCACTGGTTTTACTCTTCAAAGTTTTTTCGTTGCGAAAATTTGCCAGCCGGTCTAACCTCCTAAAAGCATTTTCGTTTATTTATTTTCATTTTTCTTAGCGGCATTCTCATGACAAAATTAGGATTTTATTTTCGTTTTGTATCGATAGCGACAAATGTGATGCTCATAAAATGTTCATGGCTGTCGAAAATCCAATGCGATCGTAAATATTCTAAATATATGTGTCTCTTATACGTTAGTGGAAACCTCGAAACCTTTCATCGAAGGCTCGTAGCAACCTACCATCGTCTATTATCAACGAGTTTGCTCACTGTTTGTTTGGTATCAATATGTATTTCGCCTCACACTTAGTCAGAGCCTTCAATGCCAATAGTTTCGTTTGCAGCTGTACGTAGAGAGCTTGAAATCCCATCCCACAGTTCCATTTTACTGAGTTGCTGATGAGTCCTCTCAGAGAGCAGCAGTGCGAGTCTAGTGGGAAACCGTTCGGCTCACTGTTGTGATTGCAGCTTTTCGACCTTCCTTGTGCTTGGTGACGAACGTTCTTTGCTGTTACTATGTAGATGTTGGGTCCTCGAAGTGTATGTACGTTAAGAACACTGGAAATATAACGACCGTGTGTTACAACAGAATCGATTAGGTTTTAAGTTTTTCGACCAGACCATTTCGTTTGGTGAATTTTCTTGGTCTAGAATCTAGTACTAGGGACAACCAGCGTGGTCAATCAGCCTCGATCCTTTTAGGGCCTTTTAGGGAGGCTACATTTCCGACAGTTATTCCGAAGATACCTTCTTTGCCCACTCTGGTGTTAAAGTCGTCAAGCACAATTTACATATCAGGGCGAGGTAACACTCATGAGAACGCTCTGTTCGCTCAAAAAAGACATCCTTGGTCATCCTTCTCTTCCATGGGAGTTCGGGTTGCAAACTGATGATATATAAAAAAAAATTTGCTACTATGCGGGTCGTGGTGAGTTTTGCGCTCTTTTATATGACCGATATTAAGATATCATAAATCATAGTCCCATATACGATTTGAGTGGTCGTCATCCGGAGAGACGTATCTCTTTCGAGGTTTTGCAACATTTTTCATCGGAGCTGATTCTACGCGGTGCATCTCAAGACTGCACTGAAGCTTCTTCTCTTTTAGCCTACACCCAAGGTCCGATGCGGGTTAGCACATTTCGCACAAGGGCTCCTCACATTTCTAGTTTTCTACTAGTTTTATGAACTGTGAGGTACCTAGATGTCTTAGTCTCGTTCCCAATAGGGTTAGGCAGGAACAAAGTAGGTGTTTGAGGGTATCGCTTATGTGCCCCTCCATACATTTCCCATTTTAATCACATGCCATGCGAGTAGATTACCCTCCTGAGGAGATACTGACTGGAATTTACTACGCTGACTTTATTCATGATCTCAGTCGCCCTGGCGTACTTTAAGCCGTTCCATTTTTCCTTCATCCATCTTCCAGTTTTTTCGCTGAATTTCTTGTAAGGATTCTTAAGCGATTTTCGTACATACCTTGGCGATTTCTCCAGTAATCTCGTTTACAATGCCCTTGTGGCCTGGAACCCAACAGATTTCTCATTGCTTCACTCCAGCAGCCTTCTTATCCACGGCTTCCATGCTTTCAAGAACATTTTCTGATAAAACGCAGTGAGCTCAAGGCTTTAACTGCTGTCTGTCTATCAGCGGATGCCTTGATGTTTCTAAAATTTTAGACTTCACCCCGTCGGCAATTTCTATCCATCTGTGTAAATCTTGCAACTTTGAAGTCATACCAAATGTACATAAGTCAGTTCATTAAAAAACATGTTATTCTGCATATCACATATATTTCTTATTAATATGTTAAATTACCAGGGAGCTTCTTTATCATCCCCCGCGGTTTGAAATCATAAAGAAATAAATATAATAGAATTGAATTGCACAACAGCTCAAGAGCAGGGAATACCTTGTAAGGACGCTGTAAGAAATGAGAAGAAAAGTATCAGTCACACACACATCTGTATGTATGTATGTACTCACTTGGGGGCTAATACTCTGCGGCATGCATGTCAACGTCATAGCGTGACGTATTACCGTCTCAAACGACCAGCCCATACCCTGCAAAGCTATGCTCCTTTCTATCACTGTCGCTGCGCTTTGTTTTTGCTTTATTCCCCAACACATACATATATTAGGACTGTCGGCATCAAATACCTCTGTCGGCGTTAACTGCAACGTTGACCTTAGACACCAACAGAGCTCCAGCGCTGCTTGCTACCGGCAATTATAATATTCCAGCAGCTCACGCAGCAATAGTACGACACGAGCCGCGTTAACGATTGGATGTGGTCGAATATCAAGTGCGCATAGCACAGTGAAGCAAAGCAGAGCACAACGCAACACGCGAGCAGACGAATAAAGCATTTGTTTCAGACTTTTGCTGTTTGTAGTGGTGAAAAGTCAAGATTTAATTCCTAAGTGAAGTAATTTCTTCTTTATTTTTTTAGTGGTGAGACTGGAAAGATTTATTGTGTTGTTCACTATTAAATGTGAATATACATACATATACAATTGTGCAGTTATGAATGAGTGTTGAATGTTTACCTTTATTAAAAAAAAAAATAAAGCCGGCAAAGCGTAATTTAAAGCTTGTGAAAATATAGATATTTTAATAAAGCCAATATATTATTCAAAAATCCTAAATTAACTTAACTGCAATTGTTGTGATGGTAAAAGAGTGGTTATACAATAAAATATCGGTGAGATAAAGCTTTTCAACAGATTCAATGATAAGGTGTATTGAAGTGATAAATATAAAAATTGAAAATTGGACATAAAATTATAAAAATAAATTATAAAACCGTAATAAATGAAAAAATTAAAATTAAATATAAAATAATAAATAAATTTACATACAAAAATAAAAACAAAACACTACAAACAAATATATTAAAACAAATATATATTTAAAAGTTAAAAATAAATATAAAATTTTTAATATAAGTATGAAAACATACAATAAGATAAAATATATATATTTCATATATATTTAAGTTCATATATATGTGTAAAAAAAATTAATATAAAATAGAAATGTACATTAAGCTATAAAAATAAAGAAACATTTCGAATAAGGGTGTAACAAGAAATTCAAAACCTTAATTTAAACAATAAAAACCTATATAAAATTAAAAAAATTATATTACAAGTTATACTTAATATTAAGTATTAAAACTTTATATTAAAAATTAAATATAATTAAAAATAAATATTAAATTATAAAAACGTATCAAAAATATTTAAATAAGAATTTTATAAAAAAAATAAAACTATTATTGTATAAAAAAAAATTATTTAAGAATATTATAATAAAAAATTAAATATAAAATTTTCAAATAATAAAAACTACTAATATAATTTTTTTTATATATTTACATAAATTTAAATGAAAATTAAAATATAATATTAAAGAAAAATTAAAATAATTACACAATTTTAAAATTAAGTTTTAAATATTCCAAAAAAATATACAAAACTCAAGTAAGATTATTATAAAACATTGAAAATAACTGTAATGTGTTAAAAATAGATATAAAAAGCTAAAATATGTATAAGAAGTGTTAAATGAATATAAGATATTGAAACATATATCAAATATTAAAACAAATAAGTATTGAAAACTTAAATGCGATTTATTTAAAAAAAACTAAAAATGATTTTAAACATTAAAAAAAATAAAAAAATTTAAAACAATAATAAATAGTTAAATGAATATGTAAAATTTATATATGTGCATTAAAAACAAATATATGTATATTAAAAATTAAAAGTTAATAAAAAGAAAAATGATATATATAAAAAATAAAAATGAATATAAAAATTAAATTATATTTTAAAAATTAATTATTAATTATTTGTGGTTAAATAAACATAAGAAATTTAAAATTAAAAAAAAAGTTAAAACTAATATAAAATTTTAGAACAAATTTAAGAAATTAATAATTAAATTAAAATTTTTAAAATTATTATAAAAATTCAATTTAATATAAAAAAAATTAAAAATTAAATCCAAAAATCAAAAAAAAAATTTAACACATATTTAATATTAAAATAAATAAAAAGCTTCAGCCACTATTTATTAAATATAAAGAAATTTAAAAAAAAATAAATAAATAAGTATTAAAAATTTAAAAGCGATTTTTATAAAAAAAACGAAAAATGATTTTATACATTAAAATAAATAAAATAAATTAAAAACAATAATAAATAGTTAAATAAAAATATAAAATTTATATATGTACATTAAAATGAAATATATGAATATTAAAACTAAAACTAATGAAAAGAAAAATGATATATATAAAAAATAAAAATTAATATAAAAATTAAATTATATTTAAAAAATTAATTATTAATTATTTGTGGTTAAACAGACATAAGACACAAATAAAAAATTTAAAACTAGAAAAAAGTTAAAAGTTATATTAAATTTTTGAATAATATCCAAAGTTTTATAATTGATTTAAAATTATTATAAGAATGTAAATTAAAATAAAAAATAAAAATTCAAAATTAATTCCAGAAATAAATTTGAAAAATCAAATCAAATAAAAAAATTTTATTTATATTTAATATTAAAATATATAAAAAACTTCAACCAATGTTAATTCAATATAAAGAAATTAAAAAAAAAATTTTTTTTGTTTGAATTATTAAAAACAAATTTTCGAAAGTTCTTTAAATATTTCTCAAAAAAAGTTAATCAAAAAAATAAGTAAATCACAAATGAATTTTAAAAGCAAGAACTAAATTTAAGTTTGGAAAGATTTCAATGATGTATTTAAACGAAAAGTGATAACAAATACTTCAAAAATAAACATTCAACATGGAGTTCACAAGCATATCATCTGCAAACTTCACCGAAACCCCGCAAACAACAAGTGATTTGAGTTGGAATATCAGCTCAACAGAAGTACCAGGCATTATTGAACAATCACTCGCTTTATATCACAATCGTCGGCGTTTCTTATTCAGCGGCATTGTACTGTTGCTCGGCGTAATTGGCAATTCATTGGCGTTGGTAATTTTGGCGCGTAAAAAATCGACGAAGAATAGTAAATACACATTGTTGTTGCGGTAAGTAAATATATATAGAAGGGAAGTAGAAGAAAGAGAATCTGCCACATAATTTGAATAGATTGATAGAAATGTGATATTTGCCATAAGGTAGTTAATTTTTTTATTCTATTGTGTACTTTCATCCTTATTACATTACTTCGTTCAATGCGAAAGTTTTTGGGAATCCAAACATGCTTGTCTCAGTGTCTTTTCACTGGTTGGGTCAAAACCCTTGTCCAAGTAAGTGAAATCGTGAGATTTTGTATTGCGATTCTATTTTCACCAATTCGAGAGATCAGCTCTGTGTGCTGTTGCTTCGTCAAGCATTCGACTGTACTGGATCTTTGTAGTCAGCAACGAGAAGTCCTGATCTGAAGGTTACTTCTGTGAATCTTAGTTCACTGTTCGGGCGACCAAAGTTCGTTAGGAAGGGACTGCTACTCTGACAGGCTTCATAGCCGCGTAGCTGTGTCCTTGGTCAGACCTTTGTGTTTTTTTTGGGGCGAAAATTTGCATTTATCCCTACTGAAACCCAAAAATTATGAGAGAGCGGAAAAACTCTATGACACAGATCACAAAATCAGTCAAAATAAAGAAGATAGCCTTAGGCGTAACATCTTTTGATCTGATGGGAAGTGGGCGAAAATCAGGGAAAGGCAAATTATTATTAAAAATTCACTCAGTGATAGTGGTAAATAAGACCGAAATTTTTTCACTAAATAATATAATAAATGACCAATATTGTATTCAAAATCATTAGAATTTCTATTGAATTATGAATATTCTTCATATGGATCGTCTTAAAAAATCTTCGATAAAAAGCTCAAGTCCTTTGAAAATTGCGTATTTGAAAATTTGATGAAAATTTACGAGCAAAAATGGATTTGACTGCTTCTCCTTTTTGAATAACTCGCGAAAAATATTTGTTTTTAATTTTCTATGAACGATTTTTTTTTTTTTTTGATAAAAACTTAAATTATAGTATAATTTTAAAAAAGTCTATAACATGACTAACAGCTCAACAATTTTCAAAAAAAAAAATTGTTAAAAAGTGAAAGGCTTTCGTACCAAGTTACATGCATTTCTTGATGCCGCCGCCACGCTACTGGTATCAATTTTGACATCAACACCTAAATGTAGGCAACATATTTTAATTTTGCTCTTAAATGCAATGAATTTTTGTAGCATATAATTTGGTTATTCAGTGTTTTGTGGTAAACATAAATAAAATGGATTTAAAATCATTGTTTTCATGAAATTTTTTTCTTATAAAGTTTGAATATGTGAAGCGCTAAAGCGCATTGAAGTGACCGCCCCGCGAATTTTTACAAGTTTTGGCTTAAGATAGTTTTCCACCCCTTTTTTGTATATATTGGACGGCATTTTGACGAATGTTGGTTTTTAAGGGATCAACAGTTGCAAATTTATTCGCACAAATATGGTCGTTTGCGTGAACCCACAAAAAAATCCATTGATTTCGCATCACTCATTCTCGGAGAAACAGGAATTCCTCACGAAATTGAAAAAATCTTGGTTTGTGTTGTGTGGCCTTTGACACCATCTTGTTGCAATCACTTATTGTCGAAGCCATGATCTTCAAATACGAATTTACTTACTTAACTGGCGTAAACATTGCTTACGCGATTATAGCCGAGTTAACAACATTACGCCATTCGTTTCCCCTCTTTGCTGTTTTCCGCCAATTGGAAATACCAAGTACAGCCAGGTCCATCTCTACCTTTTCTTTCCAACGGAGTGGAGATCTTCCTCTTCCTTTGCATTCATAGGAGGATACTTCATCGAAAACTTTCAAAAATGGAGTATTCGTATACATCCGGACCACATGACATAGCCAGCGTAGCGTAGTCAAAAAAAATTGGTTTTAATACCACCATATCACTCCGAATCGACAGTCACAGTCTAAACGTTTGCTCTTTACGTATCCCCGGGGTGATTATTGTAGCTCGTCGCTTGTTGTTCAATTGCAAAATGATTGTCTGCCTTTAGTTGTAGTGTGGCCTGAACTTTATTTGGATGTAGGGGTAAGTTTAAGTACAAAATACACCACCAGCTCTTGAGAACACATTCGTGTCTTCGGCTACTCTTGAGAACATCGATAAATATACACATTCGGGTCTTTGGCTACACTTCCACTTACAGTGGCGACAGTTGAGGTGGAACGTGCCGAAAGATCATGCACTGACCTTACAATATCCCTAAATAATCCAGTCTCTTCGAATTCCTTTTAGCTTTTACCAATCGTTTAAGTAGTTGGACGATTTAATGCACCATAATATCCCCTTAAAGCACGAAACATGGAAAAAGTATGTGGCACAGGTTAAGACTTGATTACGCCTTAGTTGAATTAACACACGCTCACGCATACATATCGATATGCGAGTGTACGCACGTATGACAAATTGCATTCGGCTTGCTTCAGCAACCTTCCTGAGAAAATATTACTGAACTTATGAGTAAAGCTTAGCAAAACACATAAATTCGGCACACATGTCTTTTCAATGCTTTTGTAATTTTCTTTCATTCTTCTTTAGTATTTTCTTTCTTTTGTTAGTTTTTAAATTTCACTCGAGCAAACACAAATGTGTGTGTAAGTATATATGCGTATATGCGCAGTTAAATTGATCTGTTGTCAAATAAATATTCTAAAAATAGTATCCTTTAAGTCCCTCACTAAAGTTAAATATTTATTTATTATTTCTGAAAATAAGTATGGGACTCAATAATTTTCTAAGGGTCTTAAGCAGACTAAAAAAGTGCATGCTTTTTAACCGAAAACATTTTACCTGTCACCCAAGCCATTTAAAAGTAATGAAATATTTTATTACGAATGGGCAACGGAGAGCTGTGATTTGATGAGGAAGACTTCGTTAAAGGACATTCGGTAAAGCTTCCATTATTTCAAGCTCGTTATTGATTTTGTTGAAGAGCAAAGAGTGACCACACGTACACGTATACGTGATCTCAGACAGAACTAATTGAACTGAAGAGAAAAATGTGTGCTATTCCTTTAAGTCTGGAGCAATTTAGGTGGAAGAATACAACAAAATTAATTTTGCTTAAAATATTTTCCAGCTGCAACTCGAAAATCTGTCTATAGCACCAGCACAGAAAAAAAAAATAAATTAGTTTGTAGACCAGCCGAAATACTATCTAAAGATTTGTTTTTCGACCAGCAATATCAGAAATTTGATTGGCCATTTGCCTTTCAATATCGAATGAAATGCAAAAATTTTTGATTGGTTGTTTGAAGTGGCTGCCGGCCAGCGGCATACCTAGGCTTCAAGCGGATCCATTGTGATAACATAGAGGAACCCAAAAGACCCCCACCCGCTAGTGGAACCAGTGCTTGGAATTTGCAAAACTAAGCAGTTGCCGCATCTTAGCCACTGCTATCTCGCTCAGGTCGCCAAAGTTTACCGCCCCTAGAGATTTCAGCCTACTCCCTTAAAGTAGCGAGGCATTCGCAAAGAAAGTGTCTGTCTGTAACTTTCCTCTACGGTTTTAGAGTTCACTTGTACAGATGCTAGGGTCAAGGACTATCCGAAAGTACCAACAATCTGAGACAATTGACAGCCTTATGTATGGCCGCCAATACTGCTTGAAAAACGCTAAAGTGATCCGGTAAGCGAAAAGATTTGCTGATACCAAGTTCTTTTGAGTAAGCACCGCCACCGACCCTCTTGACTAGTTGGTATTATTCTTTTCCAAAGGTATATATACGGTGCAGTAATCTGTGTTTTCCGTGGCTTATAACTATCCATTCAGACCGCTTTTGTGGCACAAGCAGGGTTGTCCAGCCCTATTATGTCAATAATGTATGTTTTCGCTTCTACACCTTGCTTCACTGAAGTATGCTTTGTCGACGTATTATTGGTGGTATCTAAGACTTCAAAATTAGGGCTGTCAACAGTGACGTGGGAGGCGAGTCGTGAAGGCAAAGAGATATTTCATCTTGTCCTCCTTTGCTTTTCTTCCTTATCTAGTCCGGAGAGAGTAGAACGTACCGGCTGATATCAATATCATCGAACGTACGCCAACAGAGGTACCTCTGATAGGAGATGGTACTATTTCAATTCAACTCTCTAGCTCGTATAATATTAAAAAGTTCATGCGTAGTACAATACCAAGCGCCGAGGGGAGATCCATCCTGATCCTCACAGAGCTTTTAATCAGCTTGTTTACGATGGGCTTTAGTCATGCACACAATACACTAGATTGGACCATACATACGATATTGAGGAGGCTTTTCGCATGGTAAGGTCACACATATTGTACATTCCAATCATGGGGAATAATTTCATTCGACCATTTTCTACGAATAAACTGACGCATCCACCTTTTGAGTTCTTTACCGCCGTATTTGAATAGCTCGGCCGACAATCCATAGGCTCCCGCCGCTGTGGTGTTTTTCAAGCTGACGATTGTTATTCGGACTTCTTCATAGTGGACAATGAAACATCTGTTCCATTAAAATCGATTGGGAAATCCAATTGGTCGTCTCCTGGTGTTGCACTTTTACTGCCATTCAGGATACTGCGGTCATCAACCGCTACATCACCTCTTTGGATCCGACATGATTTTGTCCTGCTCTTGAAACTAACTATCGAACAGCTTCTCTCGAACTGTTCATACTCAAGCATTTCGGCTGCTTTCTTTTTTTCTGCATGTGAAGTCTCGCTTCCCTCTTAATCTCTTGGTATCTAAGCCAGCCTGTACTCGGCGATGTCGATCGCAATTTTGCGAGATGGGCAGACTGTTTTCCACAACGACGAGGCATCTCTCCCATACACCTGCTCTTTTGACCTTTCCGAAAACCAATGATTTCGTTTACTGAGTTGCTGATCAGTGCTCTCAGTAAGCGGATGAGCAATTCGTGTAGAGAACCATTCGGTTGTCTGTTGCGATTGCAGCTGTTCGGCGCCGAACATTCTTCGCTTTTTATGAGGGGAGTGCTTTGCTGCTACTAGGTATTGGTCTGAATCGATATTGGGTCCTCA